CTCGGCTCCCGCGGCGGGGAAGCGGTGATGTCACTCGCCGCCAATCACCGGCGGCCCCGAGGAGCAGCGCGGAGGAGTGGGAACGTGCTTCCCCGAGCATCCCTCCCCGAGCATCCCCCCGGAGCAGGCGGCAGCCGCGTGTGCCAGGAAAATGGGGGGCCCTTCCTTGATGGGAAGGGAGATGTGGGTCTGAACCTAGTTTTGGGGACCCCCCCTCTTTGGCTTCCCCCCAGCCCTGGGTTTCCCTTTCTCTCCCTTTCCGAACGCTGTGCTGAGGATGCAGCTTTGCTGCTGCTGGCAGAGCAGGATGACGCCAGGCTGCAGCGAGCAGGGCGGCACAGCCGGGGTGGAGCAGCCTCGGAGCTGAGACCAAAGTCCCCTGTAATTACCCAGCTGGGAGGAGCAGGGTGACAGACCTGACGTGCAGGTCGCAGCCGGGTTTCAGGCTCGGGGCTCTCAGGGATGCCCGAGGACACGTTGACTTGGCTGGAGCATCGCTGCTCCAGGGGCTCAGCCCACCCTGGCAGCTGCAGGAGAGCTGGGTCACTGGGCTGGCACAGCAGAGCTGTGGTCAGTGGTCCCTGCGTGCTTGCTGGAAGATGTAGGGGCACAAGCAGGGCTGCTAAAAGCAGCCTTTTCCCTGCCATAGGGACATGGGGTAGCCCTGCTGGTGCTGGTAGGTGGGGAGCAGTGCTAGGCATGCTCTGTGCCCCCCTCTACTGAGAGCAGGGGGTCCCCAAAACCCCTGCGGGGTCTCAGGGCAGCATCCTTGCCCTGGTGCAGAGATTGGGAAGCTGTCCTGGAGCAGTGAGTGCTAATGGCCACTTTCATGTGTCTTGTGGTGGCTCGGGGTGGCCCTGGAGCTGAGTGGAGGAGCTTGGGGACTCCCTCTTGGTTTTGGAGATCCAGGGTCTGCCCTGGGTGGAGACAGGCAGCTGGGGACAGGCATCTCCTCTGCTGTGGCTCTCCCGGGGGTCCCAGTCTGATGCTGGGGTCCAGCAGTGGGATCAGCCACAGTTTGTTCCTTCGCCCCCTCGCAGGTGCCCTCGGCTCGAGGGAGGAGCCCGAGTTCGTGACCGCTCGCGCTGGCGAGAGCGTGATCCTGCCATGCGACGTGATCCACCCGCTCACGGGACAGCCCCCTCCCTATGTCGTGGAGTGGTTCAAGTTCGGCGTCCCCATCCCCATCTTCATCAAGTTTGGGTTTTACCCTCCCCATGTCGACCCAGAGTATGCCGGTGAGTCCTGGGGGAGCAGGGGGACGGGGGGGAACGTGCCAGGTCCCGGCTGCTGGCGCAGGCTGGGATGCACAGCTCCGCTCCATCCGTTCCTCCGTCGGAACCACGCGGGCTCTGCCTCTCGTTGCTCGCTTTCCACCCAGTTGGTTTTAATTAAGCAGCAGTGTTAGGAAGCCAGCTGGGCTGCGTGGGACGGGAGCAAGCGAGGCAGAGAAACCCAGGGTGACGCGTGGTGGCGGTGGCTGCTGCCGCTGCGCCCCGGAGCAGCTGTGAGCCTGGGGAGGGACCCTGGGGGGATGGAGCCAGGGCCACGTGCCGGGCAGAGGTGACAGGTTGGAGCTGCAGAGCCCATGTGGCTGCTCGCCAATGTGCCGCCTGTGACACGTGGCTGGTGTCCTCTGGTGGGGGGTGTGACCCGGGGACCAGCCCTGAGGGGGCTGGTGTGGTGGGGCAGGCCCATTTTGGTATCCCGTTCCCTGGGGAGTGCTGTCCTGGGGATCTTCCCTGGGTATTGCAGGGCTCTCTGCCCGAATTGTTCCCTGAGAAATGCTGCAGCAGCAAAGATGCACCACTCGGGCTGGGCTGAGCCCTGCCAAACTCAGCTCATGAATGAGCAGTGCCACAACCCAGTGGTGGAGGTTTGGACTGGTTTGCTCCTGACCCATTTTTTTTTTGGGGGGGGCTGTGCACCGGGTCAGCTCAGGGCCGCCCTGCTCTTTGGGAGTCTCCCAGGCCAGGGAAGGCTTTGAGGCACGCCTGCATGCCGGCTGTCCTGCCGCCAGCCCCCGGCTGGGAGCAGAAGGCCGGTGTCACTGCGGGCAGACGCCACTCGAGGCACCTTGCCTGGCCGTGGCAGCTTGGCTCTGCCATCCCCAGACAGGCGAGTGTGTCACCGGCTGGCTGTGACCAGGAGGCTCCACCAGCCCCCAAACCGGGGCGGGACGGGGTGTCCCCTGCGGCAGCACCTCGGGGGGCCGCCCCGGTGTCGGGGGGCCGTGGAGCTGATGTTGTGCTCTCCCACAGGCCGGGCCAGCCTGCACGACAAAGCCTCCCTGCGCATTGAGCAGGTGCGCTCCGAGGACCAGGGCTGGTACGAGTGCAAAGTGCTCATGCTGGACCAGCAGTACGACACCTTCCACAACGGCAGCTGGGTCCACCTCACGGTGCAGGGTGAGCGGTGCCAGAATGGGATTTCGGGTGGATGCCGGGTTTCTGATGGATGCTGGACCTCAGCGGCACCTGTGCCTCGCAGACACAGGAGCCTGGAGCCGTCCAGGCTGGCCACGACTTCAAAAGGGACAAAGTTTTATTAGGGATTCCTCAGTTTAATTGCGTGGAGCTTGTTTAAAGGAGACACATCAAGAACCGGGGCTGGGAACGAGTCTCCTCTCAACAAACAGATCAGAAAATCAAATCTTTGTTTTCTTGAAATTCAGATTTACTCAAATTACTTTTTCATTTTATTAAGGCCGTATATTAAACTAATTAGCAAATTGTCATTCTGCACATCGGGAGAGAGATCTTTATTTTTAGCTCGGCAGCAGGGCTGTGCCTCTCCTGCTGCAGTGGGGTGGCTGGAGAGGAGATGTGGGCACCGGCAGCTCCTTGCTGGTATTGCCTTGACCTTGAGCAATCAATTTAACCTTTGGGGGGATGGCATGGAGCAGAGCCACCTAATTGAGCCCAATTAGTGAGCAGGAGCTTTGCAAGCGGGGCTGTGCAGGCCACCAGCCCCATCCCTGCCTGCTGCCCTGCCTGCCGTTTCCTGCTTTCCCCCTGCCTGCTAATGAGCTCCGAGGGCTTGGGAAAGAGGGAAAGAGAAGGAGGAGGAGGATGGTGCATGGTTCACCTCCACCACGTGTTCAGATCCTGCAAACCGCCAGCTCAGGAGACTGGAAGTGGCCCCAGATGCCCTGTCCCTCCTCTTGGCAAAATGGGGCATTTTGGGGGTTTTATACAGCACAGGGCATGCAGGGGCTTAATAACAATATAATAACCATAATCCTTCCAGCTCGAGGGATTGCTTTCAGGGTGAAGGCTGTGGCTTTCCCCCAGCGCATTACAACGCTTAATTTTCTTAGGGGGAAAATAAAAATCATTTGGGGAGAAACAAAATATAATTCTTTATTTTTTCCTTTTTCCCCGAGCAGATTAAATTGCCAACCTGTCTTCCTCTAAAGTGGGCTTTAACAACCGCGGGTAATTAGGGGCGGGCTGTAATCCTGCCAGCCTCTTTCATCAGGAAGGAGCCTTTCGATCTGCACTGCGGTGTTTTCCCATGTTTTGACAAGAGCGAGTTAATGTGCAGCGAGGGGGGGGTGGGACGCCGTGCCCCGGAGCTGGTGGGGAGGAGAGGGGACAGGGCTGGGGTGCGGTGTGGCAGCCCTTGGTCGGTGTCCCCAGGGACAGCTGCTGTGAGAGCCGCTCTCATCCCTGTCCCTGCAGCCTCCTTCGCTTTTGGGGTGGTCTCAGCCCCGCTGCGAGGATGTTTAGGGTGTCCCTGGTGTGCAGGCAGCTGCCCCTCTGTCCCTGTGCCCCCCCCGGAGCCACAGTGGAACTGGGGGGGTCACGGTGGTCTCCTGTGCCCCGCAGCTCCCCCCACCTTCACGGAGACCCCGCCGCAGTACGTAGAGGCGAAGGAGGGCAGCAGTGTCACCCTGACCTGCATGGCGTTCGGGAACCCCAAGCCCATCGTCACCTGGCTGAGAGAGGGAGACCTTTTGGGTGACAATGGCAAGTACCAGGTAGGTGGGGGGGGACAGGGTCTCTGGTGGGGGCTGCTGTGGGGACTCCTGGGCTCCCCGCTGGCAGGGACAGTATTGACAGGACTATGGCGGCGGCAGCTCCGCCGTGCCTGGAGCCAGACATGCTTTCTCAGCACTTTTCCATGCTGAAATGCCCATTTCCCCCCTCCTCATCCCTGCTGAGCAGCAGCTTGTAATGCTGGCTGCCCTTGGGTGAGGGCTGGAGACCCCCCCAGGTGCTTGGGACAGCCCTACTCCTACATCCGAGCTGCTCCCTGTGGACCCATCCCAGGGGCTGGGACCCTGGAGATGGGATGGGGGCTGCAGCCTGGGGATGTGTGTCCTCCAACAGGGATGGATGCAGGAGGGGTTTGAGCAGGGAGGATTTCCCCTCCTCCCCTCCCCTTCAGGACCCTTTTTGCATCCCAGAGGCTCCCAGGCAGAGATTCCCCCCTGAGCTGTAATTGGTAAATCAGGCATTGGAATCAGCGCAGGCACTAATGAGAGTAATTAGGAATCATTTGTTACTAATTGAAATAGAAGGATGAGGCAGAATAAGGTGGGGGGGGAAGCCTGGCTGGGAGGGCTCCCTGTGCGTGGGGGTGCTGCTACCCCGAGGGTGATGGTCCCATATCCATCCCTCCCTTGTTGTATCCCTGAGGGGCAACCTGTCCACTCCTCTTCCAGCTGTGAGGTGTCCCCATGGGGGGAGGACAGTGGCCAGGCTGGGGTCTCCCCCTCACTTCCCACCTCAGCAGTGGGGCTGGTCCCTGGGGAGCAGGGAATGCTCTAACAAGGCATCCTGCTCCTTATGAAGCACCCCGAGGTGCCGGGGCGCTTGGCAGGAGCAGTTTGGATCCTGCTGCCTGCCAGTCGCTTCTCCAGGAGATAAACGCGTCGTGATGGTTATTTATTTATTTTATGCTTTATTTTTTTTCCTTCCCTTCCCCTTGGCGTCGAGCAGAAACGCGTGTGTTGGTTTATTAATATCCGGAGCCTTGCAGAGCGGGGAAACCCGTCTCTCATCCGGCCCTAAAAGCACCGGCAGCTCCAGTGCCGTGGGAAGCAGGGAGGGAGGGTCTTCCCCTATCTCCCTGGGGGGGGGGTCCCTGCCCAGGCTCCAAGGGTCTTCCCTCGTTGTTCCCAGGTGAGCGACGGGAGCCTTACGGTGCTCTCCATCAGCCGGGAGGACAGAGGTGCCTACACCTGCCGGGCGTACAGCATCCAGGGGGAGGCCGTGCACACCACGCGCCTGCTCGTTCAAGGTGAGCCCTTCCAGCCCCTCAGCACCCTCCCATGAGCGCTGGGAATGGGGACACGTGGACCACAGGGATGCGGTGCCACCCCAAGGCCTCTGTGCTTGGCACCGTGCCGGCTGCCCCCGGGCTCCGCATCCCGTTCCGAGGATGGAGGAATGTCCTTAATTGGGCTGTGGCGGTGGCTGTGCTGTCCTGACGAGCAGCCAGGCCCCGATGGCAGCTCGGTTTTGTTGGGGAAGCGGGGAAAAGATTGAGGCTGTCATGAAGCGCCTCGTCAGACAGCGGTGATGCATGACAGGCCTCCTGCTCTGCGCTCCCGCTCTTATTAAATAAATCTTTAATTAGGTCAACAGCTACCGGCACAGAGGGGAGAGCGGGGTGTCCTCTGCTCTGCTTTTGTGGCAGTGGTGAACTGCTGGCTCCTGGCAGTTTGCAGTGCTCTCCCCCTCCCTGGATTTTTCCCGTGGGTGATGCTATTCTGGAGAAGTGCTCGGGATGAAGTGAGGCGTGTATTTGTGTGCCCTGAGAGAAGCAGAGCCGTGCACCACAGGCATGGACCCCGTCCACAAAGCTGTAGAGATTAGGGAAAAGGTTAGGAGTAACAGGGTCACTGTGGCCCTCAGTCAGTCCCTGCACCCTGTGATCCCAGGGAATCAGGGCCAGCTCTGCCCCAGAGCCCTCTAGCAGCTCCCAGCCAACAGTGCTGTGATGGAGGTGAGCCTGAGCAACCTTTGTGGGGACACCTTTAGGGGTGGGGGTGACACTTTCCTCTTCTTCCCCCCCCTCCAGGACCTCCCTTTATCGTTTCCCCTCCGGAGAACATCACGGTCAACATCTCCCAGGATGCGCTCTTCACCTGCCAGGCCGAGGCGTACCCCGGGAACCTCACCTACCTGTGGTACTGGGAGGAGGAGAACGTCTACTTCAAGAAGTGAGTTGGCACCTGGCCTGGCAGCTGGGAGTTGTGCCAGGAGCTGGGATTGTGCTGGGCGTTGCCCTGGGCCTCCCAGTGATCCTCCTCTCCTCTTCTCTCGCAGCGACCTGAAGTTGAGGGTGCGGATCCTGATCGACGGGACGCTCATTATTTTCCATGTCAAGCCAGAGGATTCTGGAAAATACACCTGTATCCCCAGCAACAGCCTGGGCCGCTCGCCATCAGCCTCTGCCTACCTGACAGTGCAGTGTGAGTGTGGGGACGGGGCTGGCATTGATAACATCTGGCTCTGAGGCAGCCCCAGAGGCTCTGTTGTCCTGGTGTGATCCTAAGAGAATCGGGTTAATGCGACAGCAGCCTTTGGATGAGCGTGGAATCACCCTCAGCGGAAAGCTGAGAGCATCCCACACGGATGTGGGAGAGAAGAAAGCAAATGGTCTGAAATGGTCTGAGCATCCTGGGTGACACTGCTGAGCTGGGGCAGGTGTCCACCTTTGTGGGTTTTGTCTAGGTGAGCATCATATCCCACCGCTGCTGCCGACACTCTGCCCTCATCCTGCTGGGAAGCACCGGATCGGGGCTCTCGGTCTCGTACTTGTTGGTGTTTATTGTGGGGGCTTGTTCCTGTGGTGTGGCTGTTCCTCGAGCTCCGCAGCCTTGTGTGTCACATTTTTCAGGCGGTAACTGATCTAAACAAGCGGAGGAGAAAGGGCTGGAGCAGGAGCGCTGCTTCCCACGCCTGTTCTCCCGGGATCCCCGGGCGGTAATGGGTACTGTGCCACCGGCGCCTCGTGGCATTCGACAGTAATGGCCTCAATTGCCGCCGCTCACAATTGCAATATTGCTCTGCTGTAAAAGACTGTGGCGCTTTTATTTCATAATGAAAGACGGGCCCGAGCAAAGTGGGCTCATGGCTCGGGTTTTCCAGGCTGACGTAGAGCTGCTGCCTCTAGACCCGGTGCCGGTTAGTGGGGAGCCACTGTGAGAAGGGCTGGGAGGTCCTGTTGCTTCCCTGTGGGGCAGAGCGGGCAGGGGGATGGTGTGAGTTATGCTGTGCCCAGGCAGAGGCCTGATTTGGGGCTTGGATGTGCCCGGCTGGGCGGCTCTTGGGAAAGCCTGTGGCCTCAGGCCATTAAATCTGCCCTGCTGCTAATCCAGGACCGCTTGTCAGGGCTGATAGCTGTTAAAAATAGCTCTAGTGGCAGGAGGAACAGCGTTTGGACAATCTGCTGTTCAGGCGCGCAGGGAGGGGCGCTTGGCTCTCGGTGCCACAAACCCTTTTCCTCCTGAGCAAACCTCGTCCATGTGGGGGCTGATGCCTCGGGAAGGAGCTTCCCACCCACCGAAGCGGATGGGGACACATCTCTGGGTCATTAGTGAGCCGGGCTGGCCCCCGGCCAGTGACCTAGTAGTGAAAGGCTCGATCCCATTACCCTCTCCCGCGCTGCTGGAGTCCTTGATTACATTTCCTAAGAGGTGGAGTTAAGCGGAGGGGGGTAAAGCCTGCTCCATATGCAACACTCAGCAATCTGGGTTACGGTGCCACTGCCGGGGGCACACGGTTTGGGGGGGTGGATGGGGTGATACGTTTCGGCAGGGAGGGAGAATATCTCCCAAATTTTGTCCTTTTAGCCCCAAGAAAGCAACAAGGAGAGGGCACATCCTCCATCCTTTCCTACTAAGCACCCTGCCTTTAAGCCCCCACTTTGTGTGGGTGCTGCACCCCAAGAAAACCACCTTCATCCCTTAATGCAGCATAAGGCCCGTCGGGATTTTCCCATAACCTTGCGCTGCCGGTGTCTAGACGAGATTGTAGAAATACTCACTCTTCTTATTAAAAGTAACTTTTTTTTTCTTTTTTTCAAAAGCTTCTTATTAAAGAAAGTCTAGATTCTCTCCAACCCACTCGCACTTAATTAAAAAGCTCTTAGAAGTGCTGTTAATGACACATTCTAGACTGGAGGATTGCGAGACACCTCTCTGTGTGGGTGGTGAAGCATGGGGTGGGGGGGGGTTAGATATGTGTTTTAAGGTTTTTACATTGGAAAGGGTGGAGGTGTTTGGTGTTCAACATGACCCAGCCTTGATGAGGCACGAGCCACGAGGACAAGCAGATATAGGTGGTGAAGGGCTCACGGCAGCCTGGACATGGGTCTCTTTGACCATCTTGGTTGCTGCTGTTGGTGTATTTTAAGGCTTGGGAGTTGAAATAGTTTTGGTTCCTGGTGTGTCAAACTTGGTTGCTGCTGTTGGGTGTGTGTCACACCTTGCACGTGTGTCCCACTGTGATGGAGCAGCTTGGGCTTCAGCAGGATGCAAGTTGGTGTGGAATTGGGAGCAGGCATGTCTCATATCTCTTCATAAATGCGATTCTTAATGAGCCCCAGGTAGGAACACCCTGGACATTGGTAAAGCCTCCCAGAAACACCAGGTATTACAGTGGATTTGTGTGTAGCAAGGCTGGAGATAACAGCCTGTGGGAGCCAAGGTGGTGCTGGGTTTGGAGTTCTTTACAAAAGTGGTGTAGATCCTCTAAAGCCAGGCAGCCTGGAGGGAGAGATGGGCTCTTTCCCCGTGCTAACGTGGTGCTGCTGCTCTCCCAGATCCTGCCCGTGTGGTGAACATGCCCCCTGTCATCTACGTTCCCATCGGGATACACGGATACATCCGCTGCCCGGTCGAGGCAGAGCCCCCGGTCACGCTGGTCAAGTGGAACAAGGACGGGCGTCCCCTGCGAATCGAGAAGGTAACGAAGCCCCTGGGGAGGGACAAAGGGGGATTGGACCCTCGTGTCCTCGGGAATCCCTGGTGAGCACCACCAGGCACCCTGCGGGTCCGGCCTGGCTGTCAGGAGAAAAGAAGCCCCATGAGTGGGATGACTCTGCTTTTCCTTATCAGCTGTAGGCAGAGTTAATTCAGGTTTTTGTGTGGAGCCCTGTGGACACAGTGTCTCCCAGACCTAGTGCCTGCTTCCCCCTAAAGTCGCCTCCTGATGGCCCTGGTTTATTTTTCCAATGGCAACGGATGGTTAAAAGGCCCTTTTAACAAGTCTCTGTCTTCCTCCAATCACAGTCTGAGCAAGGATATTGGACATTAAATATTTAAAGAAAACACTCAATATTTTAAATTTTTTGTTTAAATATTAATGATTTGAAGTTTTAAGTCCATTTAAATCTGTTGCTGCTGTGGCTTCCTGGTCCTTGTGCCCTCAGCCCCTCAAGTGGAGTTGTCTTGTCCACTCCAGGACAAGTTTTATTTAGGGTTAGATTCTGATCTTAAATCTTTGGGGCTACATGAAGAAGCCTGGCTGTGTGTAGGGAGGAGAGTGCCTTCAAGATAAACCCACTGGGTGCATACAGAGCAGGACAACCCTTCCCTGGAGGGCTGTGTTTGGATAGGCTGATCTTGCCCACATTTCCTCTCTCTGCAGTTGAGGAGATGCTGGGAATGGGATTGGGTGTCTCCCAGGGATGTGACAGCCACCCTAGGCGTGGGCGGGGGGCTTGGCTGAAGGGAAAATAACAGGCTGTGGTGGGTGTAGGATCAGTCAGTCCCTCGCTCTCCCTGCTGCAGTATGCTGGCTGGAACCTGCTGGAGGACGGGTCGATCCGGATAGAGGAGGCAACTGAAGACGCTCTCGGCACTTACACCTGTGTGCCTTATAACGCCCTGGGTACGATGGGCCAGTCTCCCCCTGCCCGACTGGTACTGAAGGTAACCTGCCTGCCAAAATCCGGCGTGTTTGCCATGAGCAGTGTCCTCCCGGGACGCTGCTGTGAGGGGAACAGCAGAGGCTTGAGGGTGAAGGTGTGTCTGTGCTGTGGTTGGAGATGTGCTTCCCACCAAGACAGGCAAACCCTGAGGGCTCCCTGTCTGGTGTAGCTGGAAAGATCCTGCCGGAGCAGCAGCACGGATTTGAGCACGAGCTGGATCAGCTGGTGTAAGATAATATAAATTATCAGCTGGTGTGAGAATATAAGGCTCTGGTAGTGCTGGGCGAGGGTGGTTTGAGGAAACCTCTCCCTGGGATGGCCTTTTTGCCAACAAAACACTTAGCCCTGCTGGCCTGGGCTTGGGTTCTGGAGGATTTTAATAAATGGATGATTTGAGCTCCACGTGCTCCGGCTGCGTGCGGAGCCTGGGGCATGCTGGGCTCCCAGCACAGTTCCTGGTGCAGCTGGGGTGGGAGCTGCTGCCTCTTCCTTCCCTGAACAAGAAGTCCTGTGCCTGTGAGCAGCAGTGATTCATGGTGTCTCACTGAGGTTCACATGAGAGCGCTTTTTGTACCAGACACACACATCCGCTGGGGCGGCTGCCGAGGCGAGGAAATCAGGTTGATGTCTGATGTGGTGTAGGTGGTTTTTTTCCTGTTTTAAGGAAGTAAAAACCCAGATGCTGTTCATCCTGGAGAAGAGGAGGTTGTGTGGAGACCTCACAGCAGCCTTCCAGTATCTGAAGGGGGCCAGCAAGGAAGCTGGAGAGGGACTCTTCATCAGGAATTGTAGTACTAGGGCAAGGAGAATGGGTTCAATGGAAGATGTCCCTGCCCATGGCAGGGTGTTGGACTAGATGGTCTTTAAGGTCCCTTCCAACCCAAACCATTCTGTGGTTCTGTGATTCTCTGCCCTAGTGCAGTGTTTTTTTGGAGAGAACCTCCCTCCAGCTGTATAGTTTGGCGCTTCCTCAGCACACGTTCTCCACGCAGCTTTCCTTGCAATGCCTCAAGCTTATCCAAATCAGGGATTTGGTTGGTTTGGAAAAGGGCCTGTTTTGGTGATGGGAGTTGGGGTGGGCTGACACTCCTTGTTTTTTCCCTTGGCTGCAGGACCCCCCCTATTTCACGGTGCTACCAGGCTGGGAGTACAGACAGGAGGCAGGGAGGGAGCTGTTGATTCCTTGCGCTGCTGCCGGAGACCCCTTTCCCATCATCGCCTGGAGAAAGGTACCCGGCCTGCCAGACAAATCTGCAGTGCCTTTGGCTTTTGGTGAATATTGCAGACAGAGAAGCCACACTCTGTCCCGGTAAGAACAAACTGCAGGTACAGCTGCTTCGCTTTGGGCTGAGCCACTGCCGTCCTGTCCCGCAGGTGGGTGGGGGAAGCCCGGCTTGTGGCCACCGAGTGCTGTAATCCCGGGAAACCGTCACGGCAGCATCCACAAAGCTGAAACACTGCTCCTACCCCCGGCCTCCCCCTCCTCTTCCTCGCCAGCACTGCCCACAGGACACCTTCCTCCTTGCCTGGGTGTGAGGTGGTCACCGGCAGGACGTGGCAGCCCCGGCGATGCCGCTCTCATGGCGCAGACCTCCCATGGATGGGACACCAGAGCACATCAGGGTGTCCAGCAGCATGTCCAGGCAAAGGGCTGGACCAGTCAGCAGCTGTTTTGCTGCCCCACGACTTGAAAGACCCTGGGAAGAAGCTGTTTTAGTGCTGCTGGACAGGATATAACAACTTCAAGATGTCCCTTTTCATAGAGCAGGGTGTGGTGGCACAGTCTCTAGTCCTCCTGCAGCCTTCCCTTTGCTTCCCACCTTTACTGCTCCCATAAGAAAACTGTACAGGAGACCTCCTGGGCTCTGTGCCCCCTGTCAGGATCTCATTCCAAGTCTCCTGTCCCCTTCTTGGGCTCCTGAGAGTGAGCAAGATCCCAGTGTCACCCAGTGGGCACCGTCCCCAATCCCTGTGGCATGAGATGCTGAATCTCTGAGCCCCTTTTACCAGCACTAGAGGACCATGACTTGCACAGCTTGCAAGTGCCCTGCCTGAAGCCTGTTGGCTGTTTAGTCTTTTTCTCCATCTTATTTTAGTTTCCCTCCCTCATCAGTCTCATTCAGGTTTCTTTCCAATCCTACTTGTGCCTTCTGATGGTCTTCCCCATAACTGGAGGGATAAGCCCAGGGCCACAAACTCCAGTCAGGGCTGGCTTGAACTGGGCTTGGTTTCCCAGTGGCAGAAGCAAACTCCTTTGCTCTCCATCAGCCCACCAGCGCTGACCAGTCTCTTGAAGGACTCCTGGGCTTGGCAGTGGTTACCCCATGTGCCCGTTGGCTCCTCTGCTCCTCCTGCTTGGCATCAGCCCGTGGGTCCTGGTGTTGATCAGCAGAGACTCCCACATGAAGAACAGTTGAAGAGGACTCTGGCCAACGTGGGGTTTGCACAACTTTGGACAAGTTGTTACAAGATCCATCTTTCTGCTCGGCTTGAGAGATTCCAGGCACCTCCACACCCACCACCTTCCCACGTCCCCATGGGGCCTTTGCTGCCCAGACCTCTGACAAAGCAGTCCTGCCTCTCATCTGCTGCTGACTGAGGCTAAGGGGCAATTTGGGCATCTCCTGGGGCAGACAGTGCCTTCCCCAGCCTGGGAGGGTGTCTGCTGGGGTGGCCGGTGCACCTTCGTCCCGCAGCGGTTTCAGCTTTGGATGCTGGAGGTTGAGCCCTGGCGCAGGGCTCGCTGTCCGTGCGAGTGCCGTGGGGGTTTCCGCTGGTGTGTGAGTGCTCAGAGCAGCCTCCCTGACGCATGCCTCTCGCGTTGCCCCTCAGGTCCTCTCGGAAACGGGGGAACCGTCTGCCTTGCCACGACCGGAGAGCCCGGATCCCCTGCCGGTGGCCGGCGGTGTCCCCTGGGCCGCGCAGGTAGCTTAGTGACCCCGCCGCCGCCTCGCCCGGCCCCACAACCCGCTTCTGAGTCGTGGTTTTGTTTTTTCCCCCTCTCTCTTTGCCCGGCTCCCCACCCCGCTCCTTGCCCAAGGTAGGGAAGCCCAGCAGGAGCAAGCACAACACGCTGCCCGGCGGCACCCTGCAGATCCGCTCCCTCGGCAAGGACGACCACGGAGAGTGGGAGTGCGTCGCCACCAACATCGTCGCAAGCATTACTGCCAGCACCCACCTTACCGTCGTAGGTACGGGCAGGGAGGGGAAGGGGCCCTGGGTAGAGCCCCCCAGGCAGCCTGTTGGCAAGGCAGGAGGTGGGGATGCTCCCTGTGAAGAGAACTGTAGTGATGGGACAAGGGCGAATGGCTTCAAACTGACAGAGAGAAGGTTTAAACAAGATATTAGGAAGATATTCCTTACTGTGAGGGCGGTGAGGCCCTGGCACGGGTTGCCTAGAGAAGCTGTGGCTGCCCCAACCCTGGAAGCGTTAAAAGCCATGCTGGACAAAGCTTGGAGCAACCTGGTCTAGTGGAAGGTGTCCCTGCCCACGGCAGGAGGGTTGGAGTAGATGACCTTTAAAGTTCCTTCCAACTTAAACCATTCTGTGACTAAGAGCGATGTCTCCTTTAAATGTTATTTACTGGCAGAGCTGCCTTTTTCCGCGCTGTTATTTTGGCCACTTGCGGGCACAGTTGTCCTGCTGTTTCCAGCAGAAATTCCAGGTGCAGGAGGAGCCCCCTCGGATCACAGCTTGGGAACAGCCCCCTTGCCTTCGTGGTCCTGCTCCCCTTTAACCCGTGCCCCTCTCCCTGCAGGCACAAGCCCTCACGCCCCGACCAGCGTGCACGTCGTGGCCGCCATGACCTCAGCCAACGTCTCCTGGGAGCCCGGCTACGACGGTGGATACGAGCAGACTTTCTCAGTTTGGTACGGCCCTCTGTGAGTCATCCTGGCATGCTTTGCTCTCTGCTTCTTTTCCTTCCTAGCCGACCCGAGCTTCGAGCAGCCTGGGGGGAGGAGGGTGGTGAGGGTGGCGCGCCCGGCTCTGTGCCCGTGGGGCGTTGGGTTCCTCGGAGAGGTGGGTGGTGGTGGTGGTGGGATCATGTAGTTCTTGTATTTCCTCTCCTTTCTGTGCTGGCCACTGCCTCCCATCTGCCCCAGCAGGTTTTACTCTGCTTGTGGTGCAGGGAGGTGCTTTGCATTCGTGTAACTCTGCCTCTGGTATCCAATTTCAAGATAAACTGTTTATGGGGCTTAACAGCCAGGGAGAGGATGGAAAATGCAACCTTCAGAGAGCGCGTCCTGGAAGAGCTGTGACTAAGCAGAAATGATCTCTCCTTGCTCTGTGGCTCCCTGGAGATGGTTAAATCCCAGCTGGGATCATGACCAGCCACTGTGAGATGCTGGCTGGGTCTGAGCCCCTGGGGCTTTGTTCCCATTGCTCCTGTGCCACCCGGCACCCAAAGCCAGTGGGTGCATCCCACCTTCCTGCAGCAGGGCCAGGCTCAGCCCTGTGCCTGTTCCCTGGGGCAGGGGAGGGCAAAATGTAGCTGCAGCAAAATTGGGGTTTTCCTCGGGCTCTGCTCTTGTTTTCTTGTGAAGAGTCATCCTTGGAAATGTGGAGGGGGTGATCCTTTCTCTTTCCAGGCTGTTCTTCAGCCTTTCCTCTTGCTCTCTCTCTCTCCTTCCTTGCCTTAATTTGCCCCGGTGGAGACTGCTGATAGAGAGAAGAGAGGGAGACGCTGCCTGTAATGATTTCTGCTCTGCTCCAGCCTGGGGCTGGGCAGTCTGTCTGGTGATGGAGAGAAGGAATGGATTGAGCAGAGAGGGAAAATGAGGGAGTGAGCTGAGTGGTGCAGACCTTGCTTTGATGAAAATGTCCTTGGGAAGGACTGGTTAAACCTCTCTGCTCTGGAAACGTGGCTGCATCTGCAGCTGCTGCTGCTTTTGCTCTGCAACCTGCTGCCGGGTTCCTGCCTCCTCGAGGCAATTCCAGACCCCACACCGGGCAGAGCAGCCAGCAGGGGAAGGTGTTTGCACCGAGCTTGCCTTAAGGAATTTACAAGGAGCTGTGGGGACTTTGGATAGGGAGGCAGCAATCCATCTTGCCCTGACTGTAGGGTGTGATCCCTGGGGACTGTGCTGTGCCCTGGGACCAGGGATCTGAGGCAGTGCTGGGTCATGTAGTGCCATCCAGAGCGCGGCCCATCCGTGCATTTTCCTCCCTGCTGTGGCTCTGGGATGCTCAAGCAAAACATGGCTTCATTTCCTGCGGGTTCACGCTCTCCTCCTGCTGCTGTGGTTGTTGAGGCTGGAAATGCAAACCCCACTTCCCAGGGATGGCCAGGGCCACCACAGCATCCCACCTGCACACGTGCTGTCCCTCAGCAAGGGCTGTCTCCCGTTCCCCAGAGCGATTAGAGCTGCATTTCCCCTCCACCCTCCCCACCCTCAGCCCCTTGCCCTCCTGTACCCGCCCTCAGCAGCACTGGGGAGGAGGGATGTGAAGGCAGTGGGTTAAATGCTGCAGGGAAACCTGCTCAGGGGCTGCTCCGCTGCCCTCCTGCCTCTGCTGCAGTGGCAGGGGATCCTGGGAATTGTAGTCCCAGCCGGAGCTGTGGTGATCCAGAGGTTTTCCACTCGGCTTGGTGGAGTCACACTGCACACACATGGCTCTCCACCAACTCACTTCTTTCCATAGCTTGCCGTGGCTTCTCCTCCCTCACCTCTTGCTCCCTCATCAGTGGTATTATTTCTCTTTGCTCCATCTTTTCCTTCCTGCTGGATTCCCCTGGCTGTGTGCCGGTGGCCACAGATGTGCCCCCTTACCTACACAGAACAGACCATCTGCACTAATCCTTCCCAAATCCTCTGTTGACACTGCCAAAACGTGCAGCTGAGGGCTCAGACTCCCTAAAGCATCTCTCTGACATGAGCACCAGTACTTGCAGTATCATTGCAGTGCAGTGATGCTGCTCTGGGACGTGGGGCTCTTCCACCAAGGTGCTTCCTGGCAGGATAATGGCTTGTGGAGGTGGCTGCACGCTCGTGGGTGCTGGGGTGGCACTGGGATGGCTCTGGGAGGTTTTTTCACCCTGGATTTGTGGTTAGATCCCAGCAGAAAGGCTGTGTCCTGCACTCCCTGCCAGTGCCTCTGCTGCGCTGCCAAACCCCGAGTGATGCCCCAGGCTGTGCTGGCAGCCCCCGACTTGTGCAAATGTGGCAAAGATGGGGATTTAGCTAAATGTCTCCTGTGGGATGACATGTACAGGGCTACAGCTGAGGGAGAACTTGGCTCTGGCTCAGGAGCTGTCGAGGTATAAATGGGAACAGGGCCCGTCTCCTGCGTCAGCCGTCCCCTTTGCAGCGCTCATGGAGCTGAAATGCTCCAGCTTCCACTTTTTCCCATGGGAATCTGATGGAGATCACATCAGAGCGGGGCTGTTGGCACTGCTGCCGTCCCTGACCCTGCTCAGGGGGTGCAGGGGGTGCACAGCAGAGGGGAGAGCTGGTGGCAGTGTCCCTGTGAGCCGGGGGATGCTGCTGGGACACGGTGGGATGGTGCCAGCTCGTGGGTGGCAGTGGCTGCCCCACGTCCATACACATCACTGCTCTCAAACCAAACCATCGCTCAGGAAAGCTCCATTTTCGCTCGAGAAGTTAATGCTGCCTCTGTCCCCCCTGTCAAAGACACCTTCCCTGAGGATGCTGCCTTCTCTCTTGGCAGGATGAAGAGAGCCCAGTTTGGTCCTCATGACTGGCTGTCTCTCCCTGTGCCAGCTGGTTCCAGTTGGCTACTGGTGGATACCTTGGAACCAGAGACTGCTTACCAGTTCAGTGTCTTGGCTCAAAACAAGCTGGGCACCAGCTCCTTCAGTGAGGTGGTCACTGTGAACACTCTAGGTAGGTCCTCCATGGGCACAAGGGGAGGGCAGGGATGGGATCTGGGAGGTCTGTGGGGAGAAGTGCCCCATGTGTCCTGCCTGCTGGGGATGGAGATGATGATCATCAGCAATAGTTTCCAGCCATGTAGAAGATAGTTTGTGGAGGGTCCTGGATGAAGCCTGTAGACTTTGCTGGATGCACGAGGCTCCTGAAAGCTTGTCCTGAGATAGCGTGGGAGAGCTGTACTCTATCAGTCACCTTTCAGATCTTCCTCAAGTTCAGCTGGGATCAGGAGGTATTAATAGAGCACGAAATCACTTGTACAGTAGGAGGGCCTTGCATTGGGCCCTGCCTTGGGGCTGTCCCAGGTGGAGGTGGGAGGAAGCAGGAGGGTTTTTAACACTGTGCCCCTTTTGCTGAAGTCATGACATCATAAGTCCCCTGCTTTTTGAAAAGCCACTTTTCTACATCTGTGATAAGAGACCAGATTCCTGAGATGTGCCCCAAACTCCTGGAATGTGGGAGCTGCTGCAGTGGTCCTGCTGCTGCTGCTGGGCCCACGTGGAAAAGCATCTTCTGCGCTTCCCCTGCCCCATCTCAAAGGTGTCCCTGTCCCCTCTGCTCTGTCCCCAGCATTCCCTGTAACAACTCCAGAGCCTCTGGTGTTGGTTACCCCACCGAGGTGCCTAACAGCCAACCGGACACAGCAAGGCGTCCTCCTGTCGTGGCTCCCTCCCGCCAACCACAGCTTCCCCATCGACCGCTACATCATGGAATTCCGCGTCGCCGAGAGGTGGGAGATCTTGGACGACGGCATCCCAGGGACCGAGGGCGAGTTTTTTGCCAAGGACTTGTCCCTGGTAAGCAGGGGCTGTGCCCACGCCGTACCTAACTCGATGATCTTGGAGGTCTTTTCCAACCTTCATGATTCTGTGATAAAATTGCACCGTCTGCCACAGCTCTGGGGAAGCTTTAGGGGTGGCCCCATCCCTTTGCTGGGGTCTTGGGGGAGGTGGCAGCCTGCAGTGGGGGACCTGACGGGTGTGTCTGGTGTTGCAGGACACCTGGTACGAGTTCCGTGTCCTGGCGGTCATGCAGGATCTCATCAGCGAACCCAGCAACGTCGCTGGGGTGTCCAGTACAGGTGAGGGGTGTCCCGCTTCTCTCCCCGGCTGTGGGGCTGTGGGCTGGGCTGCTGGGTGGGCTCATGGTTGTGACGGGTCTCCAGGCTGCCTCCTGGAGCAGGAGAGGACAACCTGCCCCATTTAGTCCTTCCCCTGGAGCACGGTGCTGTCGGTGTCCGCTGGCACGTCCCGGCCCTGCGGTGAGCCTGGAGAACAAAGCTCCAGCCGGGCACTGCGCAGCCTGGAAACGGGAATGAAAGGTGGAGAGAGGGAAACGTAGCACTGCAGTGCAGGGTCCACAGGGAAAAGAGCTTTGCAACGGGAGACTGCAACACGCTGCAGCTCCTGCGTGTGTTTACCCTGTGCCCGCCCAGGCTCGGGGGTTGCTCCTCGAGCCAAGACACAGGCGAGGGCTTGTGGTGGCGATGGGGAGGGCGAGGGCAGCGGGAGGGGACGGGGATGCGGCGAACCCTGGTTTTATGGCTCTCGTGGAAAGCCCGGCTCTGCTGTGCCGTGATGCAGCGGTCTCTCTCTGCCCCCAAGTGGTACCGGTGTGGTGTGATCTTGCTGCAGCCTCCCTGCCTGCAGCCTCCCTGCCTGCAGCCTCCCTGCCCGCTGCCCTTTCTCCTCACGCCCGATTTTTCTGATGGGGTTTGGCAGGTGCCCTGGCCCCAGGCAGGTGCTGTCCCAGGCTGAAAGCCGGTGCTGCAGCCGATTCCATGTGTGAGCACACAGCAGGAGCGCTGAGGTGTGCAGGGTTTGCATCTGCAGGGGCCCACAGCCGAGGTCTGCTGGGAGTTCAGATGTGCTCATGGTTAATGAAGGGGTATCATGAGGGTTTGGAGCCCAGTTTTCGTTGAAAAGCTGAAATGAAGCACTGGCAAACAAGTTAAAATATCTTCTGCAGCAGGTTTTTCAGCCAGGAGTGAACTGCAGGTTTGCTGCAGTTGTGTGTGTTTAGACATAAATATGTATTTGTTGGCATGGAGGCTTCTTTCCTGGGTGTCCATCAGCTAACACAGGAAGGTTTGTCAGGTTGCTTCGTGCAGCCTGGTCTAGTTGAAGATGTCCCTGCTCATTGCAGGGGGGTTGGACTAGATGGCCTTTAAAAGCCCTTTCCATCTCAAACTATTTTATGATTCTATGATGCGGTGTGAGGTCACTAAAACCCTTGGCCCTGAAGCAGCACTGACTGCTCTCCCTGGGTGGGCTGGCTTGGGATCTCTTTACAGAGATTATCGTCCTGATGTACAGTATCATTCCTGGAGACTGTCACTGCCTCCACGCCCTGGTAGGTCCCTGTGGAAGGCAGGGAATGGGGCCTAACACCCCGTTGTGTCTGTCCTCCAGACGTATTCCCTCAGCCTGACCTGACGGACGAGGGTCTAGCCCGCCCGGTGCTGGCTGGCATCGTTGCCACCATCTGCTTCCTGGCTGCTGCCATCCTCTTCAGCACACTCGCCGCCTGCTTCGTCAACAAGCAACGCAAACGCAAGCTCAAGCGCAAGAAAGGTGAGCCCCTTCCCGGTGTGCTCCCTCCCTCCCCCCTCCTGTCTCCTCCTCGTTTCTCCCCCCCTGGTTGTGTTGTGGTCGTAACCTTCTTCCCTGTGTCTGTCTCTTCTTCGTCCGTGCGCGTCCTCAGGTGAAGCCCTGACTTGATCCCTCGGCTGTGCCTGAAAAGCGCCCGTGGTCGGGAGCGGGAGAGGCAGGGTGGGTGAAGAGGCGCCAGAGAAAGTAGCCTGGGAATTCCGAGGGAGCTCTCCCACGTGGTGATAACTCCTAGAGCCGGGGGTTTAGGGCTGGGGTGTCCTCTGAGACGCAGATGGGGGTCATCACTCTCCTCCTCGAGGTTTCCCCCCCTGGAGCTGGGCTCTCCAGCTGCTCCCAGCCCGGAGTGGGCAGTGCCACGCTGGGCTAGAGAAGACCCCACAAAGGAGACCCTGCTGCTCTGCTTCCCGAAAGCTGGGACTGCAGCCTCCATGCAGGAGCGGCCAGTAGGGAAAAGGGCGGCTGGGGAGCTGGAGAGGGCAGGGAGTCGGCTCCTTCTCCTCCAGCCCGCGGGGCTGTGGCAGCAGGACGGGCAGGACCCTGTGACGGGAGCTGTTTGTTGTCAGCAACCATTAAAGCACTGGAGCAATGAAACCTTGGCCTCTTGTTGAGTGTCTTTTGTTGTCTTGATGTTGAGTCTGTCTTGTGTCTGTCGTGTTGCGCCTCCTCAGCGTTCTCTCTTCTTTCCCCTTTTTATTCTCTTCCAGACCCTCCTCTCTCGATAACCCACTGCAGGAAGAGTTTGGAGTCCCCGTAAGTATCTGTCTTAGATGCGGCACCAGGTTGTGGGTCTTCAAGGTGCCTCCTTCCTACAGTTATTGCAAAGCTCAGATGGAAATATCTCATCATTACTTGGTCGCTTCTGACAAGTTGTTTTGGGTGTTCCCTGAACTTTTGGGAGCACAGCAGTTCACAAGAGTCAAATGGGCTTTGGAGCAGAAAGCAGCAGGGAATGCAGCAAACTAAGCTAAGAGATGACCCTGTTGGATCTATAAACATTGACCAAGCTGGAGTTGGCTGGTGGAACTCAGTGGCACACCAGCATGAAGGGGCTCCTTGGGAGGACTAGCCTGCCGCATAGAGTCCTCCCTGCCAGCTCAGTACTTTTGAGTCATTCTCTGTTGGCTCTGTTTTTTCTTGGGAAACACATCTTTTCTCATCAAGAGTCCCCTGCTGAAGCCTCTTTCCACTTGTGCCCAGAGGTGGTGGGTCGTGGTGCTGCAGTAGCCACAACTCCTTGCGGAGCCCATCAAAAGCAGGCGTGGCTGCAAATCAGTGGGAGCATCTTCCCAACAGGAGTGCGAGAGCCTGGGATGTGGACACCTCATGCTTTGGCTCCTGGACCATTGCAAAATGTCCTGGTGCTGGTGGATCTGAATCTTGTTTTTTTTCTGGTTCATCCACTGCACTGAAATAACCTGCACTGTCTCTGTTGGATCTGCTACCTTTTACCTCACAATCCTGTTTGTCCAAGGCTTTCTGGATAGGGATGAGGGAACTCTTCTGATGCTCTCTGCCTTTTGAGGCTCTCAGCCTCAAATCTGAGTGTTGAGAATGGGAGAAACAGTTGGTCTGAGCTGATCCATCAGCATCTCCAAGTGAGACGCTGAGTTCTGCAAGAGGGGACATTTACCTGATGTAGCTCCTCTCAGGGCCTTTCCTGGGCATGAATAGCTCAGGTGAACACAGGAAGCCTTTGAAGGAGTTGGAAGTGAGCTCTGGATCTGTCTTTTGTCCCGGTGGGGCTGTGGAGCTTTGTTGCAAGGTGTTGGTGGAGCTTGTTGCAAGGTGTTGGTGTGAAGTACCTGCCCCAGGGGGTGATGCTGAGTGTGCCGAGCTCCGTTCCCAGGGAGCAGGGATGTTGTGCGCGGCTTCTGGCAAGACTCTGCCACCCTGGTTAGGCCCTGCCCCTTTCTCCCAGTTCCTCTTGTGAGGGCTGGTAGCACTTTGTTTTCCGGATCCAGACAGTGGTTCTTCTGGGCAAGAAGACCTCCTTTCCCCTCCGGGTGACCGTCCCCTCTCTCGGTTTTTCTCCCCTGTGGTCCAGGTTGTCTTCAGGCAAGGTGAGTCCCGAGAGCATCCGCACGCTCCGTCCCCCCTCGGAGTCCTCTGACGACCAGGGTCCGCAGGCCAAGCGGATGCTGAGCCCCACCAAGGAGAAGGAGCTCTCCCTTTACAAGAAGACCAAACGAGCCATCAGCAGCAAGAAGTACAGCGTCTCCAAGGCGGAGGCCGAAGCCGAGGCCACCACCCCGATCGAGCTCATCAGCCGCGGGCCCGACGGCCGCTTCGTCATGGACCCGGCGGAGATGGAGCCCTCCCTGAAGACACGGCGGATCGAGGGCTTCCCCTTCGTGGAGGAGACGGACATGTACCCCGAGTTCAGGCAGTCGGACGAGGAGAACGACGACCCCGTCGTCCCCACCTCCGTGACCGCCCTGAAAGCGCAGCTCACCCCTCTCTCCTCCAGCCAGGAGTCCTACCTTCAGCCACCAGCATACAGCCCCCGGTTCCACCGGGCGCTGGAGGGTCCCGGCGCCCTGCAGGCCACGGGCCAGGCCCGCCCGCCGGCCCCCCGGGCTTTCCACCACCAGTTTTACGGTTACCTCAGCAGCAGCAGCCCCGGGGAGGTGG